TCTGGCATGCCTGCTGATTTGGGTGTATCCTACTCCCCTAGGAAAGCCACTTTGTGGCCAAGGGGCACTGTTTGGATAGGTTAAGTCATTTTTCTTAAGTAGGTTGATGAGAAATTCAGGCACTCAACCCTGCAGGGATTGAGGGCGAATAAATCAGGAAGACAGGACTGGGTCTTTTTGGTAACTAGACTGTGGCTTCCTGACTTCACCACATACAGCAGAATCAGCAGCAAGATTAGAATCTTGTAACCCCAGAATGTTACCTGTTGTCCAGGCAATATATGCAATATATACCTTTTTTTTCCTTTTTTCAATTTTTTTCTCCTAAGTTTCCTTTTTTTTTTTTTTTTTTTTTGAACGGTAACTATGTACATTAATGCACTTCTAGGGTACAGTGTGGGGTTTTCACATGCAATCTGAAATACCTCCATCAACTTCCTAAGTTTCTTATTTGTTTCTTTCTTTGTTGTTTTACATATATATTTTTTTTTTCCCTAGTTTTTGGCCAGGGCTGGGTTTAAACCTGCCACCTCTAGTACATGGGTCCTGCGCCCTACTCCTTTGAGCTACAAGTGCCACCCTGTTGTTATATTTTTTATTTCTTCATTTTTTTTTTTACATTTTTCAACAGTAAGGGATCTATTTTTGCTATGCTTTTTCCGCTCCTTTTTTTGGAGACAGAGTCTCAAGCTGTCAACCTGGGTAGAGTGCCGTGGTGTCACAACTCACAGCAACCTCAAACTCTTGGGCTTAAGTGATTCTCTTGCCTCAGCCTCCCAAGTAGCTGGGACTACAGGTGCCCAGCACAACACCCAGCTATTTTTTGGTTGTAGTTGTCATTGTTGTTTGAAAGGCCCTGGCTGGCTGGATTTGAACCTGCCAGCGCTGGTGTACGTGGCTGGCGCCCTAGCCACTGAGCTACAGCAGGCACCAAGCCACCTTTTATTTTTCTTTTTTCAATTTTTTCCCTTAGGTTTTGTTTTGTTTTGTTTTGGTTTTATTTCCCTTTGTTTTGTTGGACTGTTATTTTTCCACTTTTATTTTCATAAATAGTAAGAGCTTCATTTTTGCTATAGTTTTTCTACCTCTATTTTTTTCTTTCCATTCATTTCTCTCTCTTCCTCTCTACTTTTGAAATTTGTCTACTTTTCTTATCTTTCCCATATAAATTTCTCAGACAAAAAAGATATCCCTTTTTTAATTTATAAAATTTTAATTTTCTTTATATACTTATATTATTTTTTTCTTTCTTCTGATCTTTTTTATTCTATTTCAATGTGTATTCCATTTATAGTACAAAGCCTCACTCTGAGGCCTAGACTTAGGTGCCTTGGCATTGGCCTGGCTCAAGAAGAACTTGATCCCCTGTTCTAGGGTGTCCTAGCTTTCACCTTTGGAAAGATGGTATTGTATATCCCCACTGTGACATAGTGCTATTTTTTTGTATATTTTGCAGACGTGGGGTCTTGTTTTTCTTGGGATGGTAAGGAACTTTTGACCTCTAGCTACCCACCCAGCTCAGCAACCCAGAGGCAAGAAATTCCAGGTGTGAACCAAAGCACCCTGCTGCATATCACTATTAGTCCTGTCTCTCTCTTTCTATTCTTCTCTCCTTTTTTAAATGTTTCCTTTTATGCCCCATTTTCTTCTCTTCTCTTCCTTTTGGCCCTATACAAAAAGGACACTTCAACACCTAAGCACAGAGACAAGGTAATTTAAAGAGAAAATGAAAGGGAAAAGTAGAGGAAGGAAGTGAACAAGGAGGAAAACATTCATGAGGAGGAACCAACAGAAAATTCTGTCAACATGAAAAAGTAAAACATATCAAATTCCCACCCATAAGAGATTATGAGATAGCTACCCCAGAGGATTCCACCAATAAAGAATTTATGGAATTGACAGAAAGGAGTTTTAAAATGTGGATGGAAATGGGTGGTGCCTGTGGCTCATTGGGTAGGGCACTGGCCCCATATACTGAGGGTGGCTGGTTTGAACCTGGCCCTGGCCAAACTGCAACAAAAAAATAGCCAGTCCTTGTGGCAGGTGCCTGTAGTCCCAGCTACTCAGGAGGCTGAGGCAAGAGAATCACCTAATCCCAGGAGTTGGA